GCGTTTCGAACTCTGAACCTAGTGCTTTAAAGTTGAACGCTTTAGCCAAAGAGCCACATTTCCATACTTTTAGATTAAACTAGTCTACATGAACTGGGAACACAAATACTTACAATGATAACTGATCACCAATTTGCGGTGTCACACTGAATATCAGATGAATCAATGAGATGAAAGTTGATGAATGGAAAGAAACAGTAGCATCTGAACCACACCGATTTGAGGTCATACTCTTTTCACTCTCATGTCATCAGCCTACGTTATGGTTAATGGTGGCTCATTTCTCTGTGCTAGTAGTTGCAATGAGTTCCTATTGAAGACAAATAAATACTCAACAAGTTAGGAACTTCATAGTCTGACTACCCTGGTGGTTTTCCCACCTAAATCCTTACTTCAGCCAAGCTGCCTAGACAAATTTCCATCACCTTCAGAAATGATGGTTTATATCCTTATCGGCTAATTTCATCGCCCATGTGTGAGGATTGTTATAATAATGATAATCGGATATTTCTAAACACTACAAATATTCTTCATGACATCTGAAAACCAGACGGTGGAAGACACTGAAGTATAGAATCTAACACGGTGAAAGTCAAAGACAATTAAAGTGTGGCCCACTGGTTGAAGCACTGAATTTGCGACCAATGGGTTAAAAAAAAACACTCAGAACAATTCGAGCTGAGTGAGCAACTAATATCATAAGCAGTCGTACAATAAGCTTGGCGTATAGCCGAATAAGCAAAAAGCTTATAATGGATTGAGTTGCAGTTGCATGGAGCCACACTCACTGTGTGAATATTTATCATATTGCTAGATAAGCCAGGATGAAGCAACTGGGGAGTTACAACTCATGATCGACTGGTTAACAGCTGAAAAAAATCCAAGGTAGAAACTCGCGCAGAAGTTCATCAATCTAAGTGGCCACACTTCACGGTGTCATGCGAAGAAGTGAGTAGAAAAAGAGTGATATTAAAGTAAACAAAAAGGTACGGGAAGAGAAAGAATATACAAATGAGGGTAAATGAAAATCTTCAAAATTTACAAGGAATCATTATAACCACTTTTAGTGGGAAGTCTGCAAATATTGCTTACTATTATCTGCAGAACCCAAACTAAACAATCTATGGTACTCTACACGGCTCAGAACCAGTGAACACCTGGACTGATAGACCACAGTTCCACAGAACACAATGCACTACTATATGATATATGATATCCTCCGAAGTTATACAGGTTTCTCTGGTGTTATTTTGCACAGTATTGCTAACTTACAGGTATCTCATCTATGGATGACAACGCCTTTTGAAGTACTTGGAAATAAAAGTCAGTTACTTAAAGTTAACTCAAGAAACAGCATTGCTTCGCAATGTTTCAAGTTGCCACAACTCGTACTACTACATCATGAAAGAATGTGTCAAGTGAAAGATGTTAGGAGCAGCGAAATAAGAAATCGAAACTCGTAGAAAGGCATGAAAAGACAACAAAGAAAAAGTGCGATAACAATGAAGTTTGGATCGACAATTACGATGAAGATAATGTAGACACGGATACATCTGTACCACTGATGTCCACTCTCAGACACATCAACTAGTCTCCAACCACCAGTTTCGGTCAGCACGCAGATCTCAACCTGGAAGTTCACATCTCTTCTCCTTACCCAGCTCACACCAATAGTCAAAGATTTCATAGACTGATATCATGTGCGGTTCTAAGCATCAAACATCGCGAAACGGTACAGACCATGACCATCATCAGCTGACATTCCTATTCTCCATGAAACCCTACTACTATGCATGTGGTAACATCACAACACACGGTCGACTGCTACGAAGACAACAGTGCTGGATGGAACATCTGAAACCTTTTCTTATATTCCACCTTTGATGACCATGCTTCAGTCATATGGTAGAACAGAACGAATTGCAACCAACTACACTCGACTCTTACCTTATTACCCAATCAGATATCACCTACGGTACCACCGTAGGTGAAATAAGTTGTCGAAGACCAAGACAACCTTTTCAGATTGGACAGAGATTGAGTTGGTCACTGATCCATCAGGGATGATCCCACTTTCCAAGTGAGTGAAGTCGTCAGAACGCTCAACCACTTCACCACTTCTCGTTTGTTACAAGAGGAACCAAAGAGCAAAGATCAGTCGTGCAGTGACAGTTTGAATTCGGGTGGTGAGAAACGCACTCCCAGTATCTGTAAATTGCCACTCGGGATGCCCAGAAGACTGCACTTTGTTAGCGTCTTCCTCCATTAGGAATATATCATTTGCGTACTGTAAGTCTACTGAGGAGTCTCTCTCCTGGGTCACAGGACGAGATAGAGACGAAATTGAATAAAATTCGAGTGGATAGTCTTGCTCGATAGGCACAACTATACGTACACAACCGACAATACAACTTCATAGTGATTTTCTGTATATATTTAAGGACACTAATGAAGCCTGTAATATCTGCTCTTCATAAACATCAGAGTTTCGAGAACTCAGCTTCTATAACTCACCTATTCTGCATTGGTTTACCTTCGATGAGGTGAAAAGTTGCTTTCGCAGATCGTTTTATGGTTTTTCCTCTCCATGGTGGGCAAGCAGTCGAAGAAAAGCTGGCCACATGATGACAGCACAACTCTTATGATCATGTCCAATCAACGAAGTATCTTCAAACTCAGACGCCAGCCACAATATAGAAATAATCACTTTCAGTTTTGCTCCTTTGCAAGGAGTTCATCGTGATTAGCCATGAAATAAGAGGCATTACTTTACATTTATTCGATTACCGTAATATTCAAGAACAACAGTTATATTACGGTGAATACGTGGTGATGAAAGAGGACTTGTTCTTGCACTTGTTCTTCCGATGTTAAGGCAGATGTGGTTGTTGCAGTGAATAACCCCATAAGTATTTAAGAAGCCTGAAACACTATGGACAGCTACTACGAGGTAAGTTTTTTCGTAGCATTGTTCAACATAGTTTGGTAGAAACTAAAAATATTTGAGTTCAGCGGTATTTTCCATGATACTATAAAATAAAATTACATGATACCACAACTTAGATGAAGGGAAGTTATTAATGAATATACGTACTTGAGATCGATTTTCAACTACACTTAGTTCTCAACATGTTTCGGTTATGTGGGAGCCATTGAAACGTTCACATTTCTCTACGAGGTTGAAAACTTGGGAATATTGTGTTCTAATCTTATACCTTAGTCTACCAATCTTTAGCTTCTTTCCAACGTAATCCTAGACCAGAGTTGGGGTAAACAATGACTCGGTATCTATAGTATGTTATGTGGAGTCGCAGTTCATTGATCTAGGCACATCACTTCAAACCAATGGGCTACGAGTTCAAAGACCACTTTACTCGCCAAGGTTTGAGCAGTCAGGTATTATCAATAGCCTGTGTACAGTATTTGTGGCTCATTGCGCAAACCTGCTTATGCTTGCCCAGTTACCCCAGTTGATGATGGTTTACAATTCACATGAATTGACCTATGTTGATTTACCTAAGATCACATGTAACTGCTACACTGCTAATGCGCTGGTTTCACTATATGCAAGTGTTCATAAAAAAGTAGTAGTGGTCGAATACTTAGAAATTATAAATTCCGGCTTTATTGATCATGCTTAAAAGACATATACTAGTGCAGTGTTCTGCTACTGGGTACATTTGACCACTCATAAGTATCTGCAAGTCACCAATGTCATAGATGGTGTAAGGAGGCGAAGATAATGTCGGACCATAAAAAACAACTCATTTTGGTAAACTCAGATGAAAGCAAACTACACATCACGATAACTGACCAGGTGTTTCACCATCATCACTGAAACAAGTAAAAACGAAAACCAGACAAGATGGTTGGTCACATTTGGCACCTATATGTTTATTCACGTGACCTAGCCCACTTGTTTGATAAGGCAGATTCGTGTCAAATGATTCCGTTAACTGGAAAGCGAGTGGAAAATCCCAACAATCAGTTATAGGAAAAACACCACGCATAACTTGAAGACCAGCGTGTAGATAAAACGTTTCACATCAGTTAGCGAAAACAGAAAGACATACAACTTACGGATATCTTGCTAGAAACACAATTCAGTGGTTAAAACCTATATGATCAAAGGTAAAATCTGTAATGAACATAACCGTTGAAAAAGGTGTTGTGTGTAACTTAAACTACTGCTGATCTGGACGAGAGTGAAATCAGTTTATCAGAAAGCTAATATTCATTACATCACAATATGGTATTTGATTATGAAGTCATGAATTGTAAAACCTTAGACGACTTAGTTACAGTAATATATATATATATATATATATTTGCTGAGAAAGGTAAGGTAGCATTTTTCAAGAATGAGCTGAACACCTACTCTTCAGTTCCCTCCGCAGGTTGGTCTTTTCATCAATTCTAACTTCTTTTCTCCCATTCATGACTTCTGGGCTTTTCTGAAACGTGAGGAACGGTATTGTAAGCATGATATAAATGAGACTTCTAATTTTGCGTAGATCAAGGTATGTTTCAAACGAAATCTAGAGCAGTCACTGAACCTGAATATGCGTTAATTATCGAAATTCGGCTGACACATGGGAAATTGAGTACTATGATATTATACAGTTCCACACTAGAATGGTTATGTTGAACCCAACGAGAACACTGGCGAACTCTCCAGCAAATACTACTGACAATCAATGACACTATTGATATCGTCTTACCGAGATGGCTTTAACTGTTACTTAGATGCATGCATGAATATGATTTCTCATTGGTAATCATATTCAGTCTGAATTCAGAATTCAAAAACGACCATTTAGAGCAATAGCCATATGATAAGTAAGCAAACTGAGCTGCCCCTACAGTGAACGTAAACCTATCCTACACAGATGTCTCACAAATCTAGAGCCCAGTATACTTTTATGATTTCTAACATAAACCAAATATACCACATGAGGGTCAGTGAAAATACCAGAGAATATCGGTGAAATCATACTTACCACCTTTCCCAACAATTTCAGAAACATGATCTTTGCTTGGAACGCGCACTCCTAACTGTAGATAAGCAGCCTTGGTTTTAGCTTCCGTCTCACCGTAGCGATTACGAAAATATGCTGAAATGCGACCATACGATTGACTGGTAGAACGGCGTGAATTCTCCTTAATCCTTTCTAGTTCAGCACCAACTATAAAACCATGTTTCTGAGCAATAGCGTAGTAGTGTAAACGATCTTGCATAAGTAGACCAGGGCCCATAAAGTTGTGACAGCTGTTACTTGGATGGGACGAATTCACGGAAGGAAAAAGCTCTCGCTGAGGGCAGTATGTAGAGTTCGAATTTGTAGGACGAAAACCGGGAAGTGAAAATGCGGCATCTTGATATAATCCGCTCCTTGAAATGAGATTTTGTGACGCAGTACCAAAACCGTTCGCTCCGCTTGCAAATAACGTGCCTGCAGGACCCGGTGACAACCCTGGAAATTGACGCTGCAAATGTGTTTGCAAATTCCCAGGATAATGATTGTAAAAGGGAGAGTTCTGCAAACTGTGACGATCACCAGCTCCGGCCCCACCATTTAAATTCATTAATGAGTGTTGTGGGATGGAAGTCAATTTGTTACCGAGACATGGGGAAGTAAGAGCTGAGTAAGGAGGTGCTCCAATCTGAGTGTGGCGCATGTTCAGGAAACTATCTGGTAGGTCAGCTGCTGATATAACAGTCGGGGGAGGGGTACACGAACCTGAAATTGGGCTGGTAGGCACGCCACCATACACGCCATTGTCATTAGAAGAGGGGCTTAGAGACACACCACTAGATGTTCTGTCGTAAAAAAGTGATGTAGGAACATTTCGATGACCAGGCGAACCGATATTGAAACCTGTGTTTCCGGATTCCGATAGAAGTGAACACAAGTTTGTCTGGTTGAAATCATTAGTATTTCCACCCAAGTGATACTGACCGTCCGGATTTGACTGGTCACTACTAGCCATAAACGATAGCAGCCTAGCACTCAGAAGATCCTCACCATCAAAATTGGCCATACTTACTGTCGGCATTTCAAATGAGTCAAATTGAGCAAAACCGGAACCAGACAGTCACCGGGATTTGTACGCCCTCTGCATATTAATGAGTAGTTGTATAATTTAGTTATATTTGCTTATATGACAGATGTAGCAGTTCCGAAAAGTAAGATAACTCCATCGATAGGTTAATGGCGGCGTACCAGTCTACCACAAATCGCTACTACAGAAAATCAGAGAACGTTAAATGAAATGCGTCAACGCAATGCATACTTCCATTGAAATGATGTGTCTAGCATATAGATGTAGATATACTGACACCCTTCCGGCCCACTATATGAATCTGATTGGCTAAATTAAATTAAGCTCATGTCTTTGTCTGTCTACACAGCAACGTGATCAATCTAAGCAGTCCATCGTCTGTCTGCCACATAAAAGCATGACCATCAATTTTAAATTAAGGACAGCAACATTTAAATGCCCGATTGACCTGGTTAATTATGATTGGTGTAGAAGTCAGCCAACCACCGACAAACAAAATGTCAGCCTGACAATTTATTTTGCTAAGTGAATCAGAGGTTAGCTGCTTGTGAAGACTACGTGATGGGAAGAGAAATCGTTCTCACGGAATGTTAGTGTCTACTGATACCGCTCTCCAAGTCGTATGACTAATGGGCCATTTACCAACTTTCAGTCTTCAGTCCACACGTCTTCGGTGACAATCCATGTCTAGTGGAAGGCTCAAACCATTCAGACTGTCAATTAATATACTGGGATACACAATCCTTTTATTTCTAAGCGGGTAACACTAACCCCAACCAACCAAGGAGTCAGTGATAAGCAGCTTGTCACTAAACAATTCAGAGATATGAAAGATGTGCGTATTGTACTATATATGGCTGCGGAAACGAGTTCGTATTGTATGATGGAATTCAACCATGGCCTGTGTCAAGCAGACATCTTTTATGACTTAATCAGTCACGTATGTGTTTTGCCATGAGTCCCAGAAACGTCGACACATTAAGCATGGTAACTAGTCCCTCTATTCAGTAACTATAATGCAATGAAAGACGCAAAACAAGAAAAGATTGAACGAATGGTAAGGCTTTTCTTTCAGAGAAATTGCCAACGACAGTTAATGTGCACACCTCGAAATATTAGTCGGAATCATGGCATTGTTGGCAGGATGTTTAAGTCTTCAGGAAAAACATTCAAAAAGGGCTGATATGACCTCTGATTACACTAATAAGAGGATACTTCGACTTTAATCAATTAAGCATAAGTAGAAAAACTGACAACAGTTTTCACATTCTACCATTCTTGACTGAATTAGCAGGAAAGCTGCTAAGTTCTTTAAGATATTTGAAATATAGCATCTCGCAGCAGTATACCTACAACAGATACATGCTGCACGAATGAGATTAAATGCTGTGAGAAAGTTCTAGACTCTAGATGTGAATGAATTTATATTATCACTAGAGAAAAAAATAACATGAACTACTCACTGATAAAATACGTTTCATCACCATCGTTATCAGTTTGTGTTGACTGAGGTGGTAGTGAGTTTCGCGAACTTCTCTTCATAACTGTTCTTTTTCTCAGCCTATCACAGATGACATCACTAAATGCTAGAAAACCCTTGAGCTCAATAAAATGTAAGGAAAATGGGATGCGAATTGCAAGTGCCAAATATTGAAATCGATTCTTGTAATTTTGAGTCTCAGACGTTTTGTTTAACATTCAACAAATAATCTGCTTGGTATTTTGTTCCTTAAGTAGTTTAAGAAGAATACCTCTGACAGCTATTCAATAAACTCTTTCTTGTTCAATTACTTATGGGGGTAAGAAAGAAACTATCTTGAGCAAAGGGCAAATTAATGCACGCTAACAGATAGTGTTTGTGTGGTCATATACCCACTTTTCGCCTGACAAACTCAACATGACTGCTGCTCACTAGAGTACAAGAGTAACTCGAAATTTGCATTTTTTTCTTAATTCACAGTGTACATTTTGATCATGAATGGTACAGTTTGTTATGCTTAGCTAAACTCTTCATCTCAAGATCACATTATTGTATGAGTCTAGAAAGCTGTAACACGTGATTAGATTAATTGGTGAGTAGGCTGAGTTAAGTTTTTGACTGATTATCACTCTTTGAGATGATTCAAGTAGTAAAAATTGGTCCCGTATTTGGTAAATACTAATTGATGCTTTTTATTTATCGTAATTAACACTGTTTATTGCTTTGTTTTGATAAATGTTTGATTGGATATTTCAGACCAGTGATCACCCGCATTTTGTACAAATTGGAGTAACTGAAACAGCCACGTGATGATAGACATAGGACATAGAAAGGCATGATTCTTAAAAATAGATCAAAGTTTAGTAAGCTCAATATAAGCATCATATATATATATATATATATATATATATATATATATATATATATATATATATATGTAAATCACCAACTAATTGTAGCATGACACCTTGGTTACGTAGCTTCATCTTCCAATAATACCTACGAAAGCTGACCACTATTATGACTCAACTTACTGGTATAAATAATCTCAAATCCTGCATGTGTTGACATTAATCTGTTCTCTACAAATCAACCAGCTGAACAACTATTTAGTGTCTTCTAGTCTCTTGCTGTGATGCGAATTTCTCAAATTCACAATAAAGGACTAGGGTCTTTGCGGAGGTCAACTAAGTTCAGTCTGAAGATTGATGTCCATAGATGACATTAAATGATAGCTAAAATATGTCACACCTTTGGAACAATGTCACTTGCAGGGATGTAGGCACATCCGGCTGACGAGTCCGAGATGGGACGAAACGCGCCTCCTGGATTTCACTGCTTGCCGCCAAATAGACTAAGATTTCGTGATTTCATTTTTAGGAACTACTGTGCACTATTATAAATACCCAGACCATAGTTGTTACGAATGTATATTAAAATATATTCTTTTATTATTCACTATGATTGTATGATTGAGCTATATGTATGTGCAGTTAAGATCACACAGAATAACAAGGGTAGAAATCTGTTAGCCTTGTCCAATGGGATGAAGGAAAACTGATAGTTAGTGGGTGAAAATAACTCGGCTTGCGTTTGGCTTGGAGGGTGACACAGGCAGGTGCTCATATATTCAGATAGTGAATAGTTCAGAAATTCAGAATGACAAGACGGTGTTAAAGTTATCTGTTTTGGAACCGCCGGTTGAAACAAAGGATGACTCTAACGGCCATTCTGGCAGCTGCTAATCGGGTTCAGAATTTCGACTGGGAAGGCACTTTTTCATAGATAGAGGAAAGTAATTGATTATCTCAGTAGTTGCTAGGGTGGCCTTTAAAGTTACTCGAAACATAAGATAGCAAGGTACACCACTTAGTTTTTTCCTGTCACAATCTGATTTAGCGTATTTCTCTGTCTGAATGCACTCCATGGCGATAACTACCTTGAAATGTATTCATTGTTCATTTTCCAGATACTGTTCTACTTCGGAAAAGTAGGTCGGAGTCAAAATACAGCTGATCTCCGTTTAGTGTCGAAAAATTGTCATAAGCCCAGCATCCTTAGTACATAGTCATCAGATATGAATTATATTTATGTGAAATAACATTTCTTTTGTAAGTCTTTTGTGCATTCTGCAATGAAATAAATGTTTAAAATACCCAAAAGAAAGGTCTACGTATGTGATAGTTTCATAAAATTCTCATTTCGCATCATTAGAAGAGTTAGCAAAAAGAAATTGATATCAACATTTATGTGAGAATGAGATGAGCTATACATAATGATATCGCAGATGTATGACGAAATATTCAGTATTTTATAAGTATCTAATTTCTCTGCCTGAATCATAATCTCCACAACGAAATCTTAAACCAATTTGCTATTTTGCAGACTATAAAAGTCGGTGCTGTGAATTGTAACCAACAGAAGGGCACCTGTCAAGCCTGGGAGTTTGATGGCATTCCTTCTGTGGTTCATTCTTTAGCAGTATTGCATTTACAAAGAGCTTGTTCTATCTTGATACGTTTATTTTACTTCTAAGGAAAAGAAAACTAATTATGAGTCCAAGGAAAGAAATAAAGCTAAATTTTAAATAAGAAGAAATGTCAGTAAACTAAAGCTGAGTAGATGTATGACAACTTCGTTTTATGGAATTGACTTTTAGATATAACTTGAAACACAAATGAGGATGGAGTAAACCAGTAAGCCTTTTCATCAGGCACACTTTGTTACTATGTTATTTGTATTATTCTGTCGTTAATTGGACCAAACTGATGATCGGTCTCTATTGACATACGGGCAACTGGGCGGATACCTTGATATTGCCTATGTTTCAATTTTATATTAATGATGGTCCAGTTAACGACGGGATAATACAACTAACAACAGGAAACTATACTCGTTATACACGAAGTGGCTATTGTGAATCCGTGGCGTAGAGGAATACCCTCAGGCTTTTGAAGTGATCGAGTCTTAGCGGGACAATCCTCACCCACTAAGTGGCAGGTTCATTCAGGTGACGAGTTCCAAATAGGGTGAAAGGCGGAAACTGCACTTCACAAATACTATACATTAACATATTGCTACTGCTGAAAACTAAACAGTCAACTGACGGTTGATGAAAAATCTAATGTATATGAACTGTTATCAAACAATTTTTATCAAGTCAAGTCAAGGAGTATAGTTCAGTATTTTTGAGAATCGAAAGTCGTTCTGCTCAAGTAAAAACAACAAAAGGCCATATAAAAATCTATTTACGATAAGACGTTACACCTGATCTTAATTTTAGTGTCAAATGCGGTAAG